TGTATCAGGACATTTAAAAAAAAAAAACACGACCAGAACAAGAAAATGGAATCAACAGAACGAACAGGTCGGATGTGAAAGGTCACTGCCATCGGTACCGATCCCTCTGAGTTCACAGGCGCAGACGGAGCTGGACTCACGGCCGTGGTTTTTCTTCATGACGTTAAAATACATTTACAGGTTCAATACTGGGACAAACCGACTACTGTCACGATGTCACACGCCAGAACAGACTGTAATTCGCAGGTTGTAGAAAGTCGCTCTTCACACGGAGCCGTGTCTGCGGTTCTGTTTGCATCGTGTGTTTATTACAACTGCATTTCTGAAAAAAATGAAAGTGTCCTTTCATCATGTGCTTATCCAGCAAAATATTTTTGTTCAGCCCAGAGAGAAGCATTTCCTTTATTAAAATATATACACACATTCCTCTTTCCACTATTTATTATATAAGGATTTCTATATATATATGTATATATATATATTGTTTTTTTTGAAACGACAAAAAAGATATTTTTCTTCCCCCTGAATCTCATTCTGGACAAGAAAACAGAGCGACTTCAGCTCCTGATATAAGTCTCGATTTTTCGGATCATGATTGCACTTAAACGTTGTTATAGTAACACTGATTCGTTTTACGATGCGCAGCCGCAGCCACACATCAACAACACTACATGCAAAAACAAAAACACTACATGCAAAAACAAAAATTTTTTTTTGGGGGGGGGGGACGATCCACTGATCTGAACCACGAGGACACGTTTTTACTGAAACACTACGACGAGGGGTGAGAAAAATAAATAAATAACAACATGAAACAAAAAGAAAAAAAAACCCAACACGGCGCCCGTTCCTCTTCCTTAATGTACAAAATCAGTACAAAGATATTGCACAAACGATAGAAAAGAGATGAAAACAAAAAAGTACTTCACTCGGTGAGAAGTGATTTTTATCCACTCACAAAACTTCATCGCTGGAAAAAAAAAAAAATTTAAGGAGAGGGCCAAGTGTTGACAAGTGTTTCTGTTGTCGTTGTTTGGAGTTGGGGGGGCGGGGGGGGCTGGACGCAGCCACATTTGTGCAGTGGGAGGAGCTTCAGTCAGGTGACTGTTTACTCTGGGGCGGAGCTAAAAAAGGAACGCCAGCCTCCAGCTAACGTGAGGCTAATGTTCCGTCTGATTCTCGGCTGCCCCCCCCCGACCCCCCCATGACCCCAGACTCAGTCTAATACTGATCAGATCCGTTCCTGATAATATTAATAATAATAATATAATTGTAAGTATAATCTTACAAATTACTTTACGCACAACTGACTGTACATGAAGTCTGGACTAAATAGTTTACGCTTTAATCGTTGGCACATTTATATGAGCGCTAGGAGGCGACACGTACAGCTGTCATCTACGGTAAATACAGCACTAGATCTACGATGACGAGGTCGTCCTCGGCGGACGAGGAACTGTCTTATGTTCATGGTCGTAGCCGATGTACGGACGCTGCAGAAAAACAACAT